CAAAGTGCTTTCTCTACATAATTATACTTTTTGGGATGCCGATTTTCCAATTGATCCGAATAATGTTCGCCACCCATTTCGGTTCCATGCGTTGGGGTATACCAGGAGAAGGAAAAAATATTTCAAAAGTAGAACGTATAGATGTAGAAACTAATTATTTAAATGACCAAATAACGCAATATTTGCGCCCGATAATTAAAATGCCTCAATAGTGCCTAATGTGACATGATCGTAAACTTTATATCATCTCTATGTAATCTGCAGATCACCTCGATATAAGCATTATATCAACTCCTATTAGGTACGTGACTACACCCTCATACAGTATGCAAGTGGTTTGCGGAGGGATAACTTTTCAGGACCTGAACGTATATACGTTCCGGTCTAGAATGCCACTTCCAAGGCAATTTTCATAAACATGACTGGCCTAGGGATGAGAGAACGAGAGAGGAAAAGTGTCATTCCAACACTTGCAGCAAAAATTCCTCCATTAATCGTGAATAAAAATGAGTACGCAAAACGATAACAAAGGATATGTAATGACCGAAAGCTGTAACTGTCGACATCTTGAAAAATCGTGAGTGAAGATGCCGCCAACGTTAGGCCAGATTTGTCTTCCTTGAAAAGGGTGCTAGCGTCTTAGGCAGATAACCTACTTATTGTAATTCAAATAAACACTGAGGAGCAAAATGAGAAATAAATAAACAAAATAGGTCAACAGATGTAAATATAAACAATTTCCATGTGAACGGAGAGCAGAAAAATATGGCAGCTCAGTTTCGGAAGCCCTGCATTTAGCGATGTCAGATCACGGTTATTTGAGCACGATCGTATCTCACATCCCCTAGTGGACGTATAGCAGACAGGGAACATAAATAACTTGCTATTATCAATATTTATCTGCCTGACTTATGTTGACTTAGGCACTCAAACTGGCGAAGTTATAAGTTCTAAAACTATTTCGAAGCCAATTTAGCAATTCGCGACTGGTTCTATGTAAGTATTAGTCATCGACACGAAGCTGCTACAGTTGACCCAATAATGGGTCCTTGCACAGTTCCGTCCCGGTTACCGAATTATTTGCCGTAAATGCACTTGAAACCACCCTGGGCAGCTGGATGTAGGCTTGAGTCGTGGTTTTGCGGAGGCCTGACAGTTCGACCGTCAAGAAGACCGAGGTCCATCGCTGGCGTAGCACCCTCGACTTGCACGTGAGCTAGTTTATATCGAAGCAGACTTCCGAAGCATCTATCTCACAATCTTCCGATGGTAGCACAATGATAACGCAACCGGAGGTGGGCACTAGCGCAGTGACCGACAAACTAATAAACGACATTATCCACAGCCCAGACGTACCAAGACACCGGAAGAACAGTTTGGAGCTTATGCGAACGGGAATGTCATTAAGGTGCTAGTTAGACGGAAACCTTATACCCAGTGCTTCAGGCACTCCAATAGACTCAGCAGGTGGACCGAGTTATCCCGTACGTAGACAGACTTCCAAGCCGCGACTCGTACCTATTCGTGATGCATTCAAGTGCGCCAGATTTACTTTATGAGGAATGCTCTCACTCCGTCAACTGCCTCTCAACTGTTCATTCCTGTGAGCCAGTTGTTGATGAGATTGGACGTAGTGGCTGACAAACCTTCACAGTTCGTCTACACATCCAAGCCACGATGACCCAGTAACCGCTTGGTATACCAGCGTACACCAAGGAAATGTACGTGGGGTGTGCACGTGACTGCACGCGGATTATCGCCAGACCTATTGGTGCTGGAATGCAGACAGTAGTAACCGTGAGAAGCGCTGGATCGTCATGCCAACAAAGTACGCTCATCCTTAAAATAAATTGTGCTTTCTACCCCGTTGAAGTTAGTTCAGCTGCACGCATCGCTGGCAGGATTGTTTGAGTCTAATGGCGTTTTTGAGTTAACACAAAAACTCGGAAGAGTGACAAGTTTAACTGGCTGAGGGCGTGTGGTGCAGGCCTGTAGGAATCTGCGCGCTCAGCGCGTCTGCGCTGACTCATGTTGTCTTCGTTCGTTAAGTCTTGCATGCTCTTATCTTTTGTCAGGCTCGCTG